AGATGGGATTTGAGCTGGCCAACTGGCAAATCTGAACTGTGTTTTCTTCATACCCATAGATTCAATCACAGTGCTATCTTGCTTCCCTTCAAACATACATGTTTTTTTCTCCTTATTTCTAGATTATTATTTCTTCTCCTTGTCCCACAGTGGAAGAGCCTTTTAAAAAATTTTAGGAGCAACTCGGGCTTTGTCAACTATAATCTATATTGTTGTTTCCTTACATCTCAGTTTCCACCCTCAAAATGTGTTTAATCTTATCAACCCCAATTAACTTGTTGGAAGAATTTCTGTCGTCCTCAGTGGAGTGGAGATAGAGTTTTGATGCTGAGGAACATTTGTGATTTTGTAGTTTCTTTTGATTGCCTCCAGGGGTAAGCCAATGGCATCTGATTGGTGGATTCTTGAGCTGCTGTTAGCTAAATTTCCTGTGATACTACAACAAAAACGCTTCAGTTTTTCTCTTCTTCACCATCTTGGAAACATTTATCTTATGATCTTCATCCTTCAGCGTGCATATCCCTGCAGAGTTAGGGATTTCACCTGCCACTTAACCATTGCCATTGTGATGCAACCTTTTATTTTTTTACGAGTGCTTTTTTTTTTTGCTAGAGCTCTCATTGGAGAGAAAATTGATTGTGAAGACTGATGACCTGGGCCAATTATGATCATTTCTGTATCTTAGAACTTTTAGACCTGTGTCTGTTTGGCTGTTTCTATAGTGGGGTTTGGGGAGAGGAACATGGGTAGACAAGAACTAAAGAGTACTAAATGCTTCCTATTTTACTGCTTAGAGAAAGAATCCATGTTTAAGTTAGTGTTTGCATCTGTTACTTTTTGTTGCTGTGATGAAAACTCCAGGAACAAAAGTGACTAATGGAAGAGACAGTTTGTTTTGGCTTATGGTTCCAGGGAGAGAGTCCGTAATTGTGGGGAGGTGTGACAGGCAGGAGGCAGCTGGAGCAGACAGCAGGGAAACAGAGTGAGAGTGAGGGTAAGCTATAGACTCTCAAAGCCTCAGCTGGTGATGCAGCCTCCCTTCTTAAAGGGTACTGCCTTAATCCTCCCACGTGATGCCACCAGCCCGAGTCCAAGTATTCAGATACCCAAGTTTATCGGGGACATTTACTACAACTTTTAAAGTCCTCATGGTCTTTTGCAATCTCAGCAGTGTTTAAAAGTCTAAAGTCTCTTCTAAGACTCATCAGTCTCTTCACTGTGATTCCCCCCTCCATAAAAGAAAAGAATTGCGGCCGGGCGGTGGTGGCGCACGCCTTTAATCCCAGCAGAGGCAGGCGGATCTCTGTGAGTTCGAGGCCGGGCTAGACCGATAGCCTCCAAAACAATACAGAGAAATCCTGTCTCGTAAAAACCAAAAAATAAAATAAAATAAAAGAAATAAAAGAATTGCGTATTTCCAACACAAGATGATGCAGACTATACATTCCTATCCCAAAGCGGGGAATGGGGCACAGTGAGGAAATACTAGATTGAAACCCAGGGCACAGAATCTTGTAGCTCTGTCCAGTGTCTGAGAATTTAGTATCAAAGGACTTAGACAGGCCATGTCCCCAGCTTTGCTGCTTGCAACATACACCTGTGTCTTGGTGTGCCACTCCCTGTGTGCAGATCTTGGCAGATTCCTTATAGCTTGGACATCTCCAGTATCCACAATGGGTTCTCACCCACAATGGGCTCTCACGGCTTCTGGCCCTCTCAGCTCCCTTATCATGTGTTACCTAACCTCAGTGGCTCGCAGAAACCACAGAGGAAGAATTCATGACTCCCTCACGCTTGTATCATTTGTGCCCCCAAAGACAGCACTACATAGAAGATACCGCCAAGTTTGACTGCTGTCTCTGGATGGACTCTTCACCCTCATGACCGCGTTAGCAACAACTTTAGTATGTTGAAGCCATTGTTTCTAGGAGCCAGCTGCCCCTTAGGCTTTCTCCCTGTATATGTTGGGAGCTTGGCAACATAGAGTCCTTGTTCTCAGAGCTTTCTTCCCATTGTTGTAAGGCCTCCCCTTAATTCTAATCTCTTTAAGAGTTGTAGCCTCACCTTCAGCACAAGCCATGGTCAGCTCTAACTTTTTCCCTCCAAACTGTTCATTTTTAAAATATCTTTCTTTTCTCTGTTTTATGATTTTTTTATTACTAGTATTATTTTTTCACATTCTGACCACAGTTCCGCTCTCTCCTCTCTTCCCAGTCACCACCCCTATCCACTCCTCCTGTATTTATTCAGAAAGGGGCAGACTGCCCATGAATATCCACCAAACATGGCATATCAAGTTGCACAAAGACTAGGTACCTCTCCTCGCATTAAGACTGGACAAGGCAACTCCAGTGTGAAGAATAAAATCCTAAGAGCTGGGAAAACAAGTCAGAGACAGTCCCAGTTGCCACTCTTAGGGGTCCCACAAGAACACAAAGCTTGTTCCTTTTCATTGTAGAATTGCATGAGGTATTAGTAATAACCATAACACCAACTCAGTATCATGCGGTCTTGGAATTTCCTCTGCCAAGGAAATTCCTTTTTAATTTATCCTTGGGCAAGTTCTTAGGGCATGGGCAGAAGGCAGCTATAGTTTTGCCAAAATATAAGAGTGCTGAGGAGTACTCTTAGCCCAGATGCTGATAGTGGCCTCATTCTCTGAAATCTCTTGAGCCAACCCACTGCAGTCAACATTACTCTCATCACTAACACCTTCCAGGATGCTGTTAGGAAGACCTTTTAATCTCTGCTCATAGCATTCCACTGCTTTTCCAGAAGTCCAAAGTTCCAAAGTCATCTACATTTTTCCTGAAAGAGAAAAAGTCAGGTTCCTCACAGTAATACTCTGTGTCTTCTGTACCAACTTGTGTATTACTTTTTGTTGCTGTACTAAAACACCATGGACAGAAGGGACCTGTGCAAGAAAGAGTTTATTTGGGCTTATAGTTGCAGCAGGAGAGGCCATAATGGCAGAAGTGGCATGGCAGCAAGTGGCCCAGTCAGGAAGCTGAGTGATCACAAACTCAACAAGAAGCAGGAAGCAAAGCGTGAACTGTAAATGGAGCAGGACTGTAAACTCTCAGAACCGATCTCCAGGGATGTATTTCCTCTACTTCTTAAAAGTTCCGTAACCTCCCTAAACACAATGCCAGGGACCAGGTGTCCAGTTACATGAACCTGTGGGAGACATGTCTTTTTCACACTACCACGGCATCCCAAATACAGTGTGTTTGGTATAGTTTTCCATTTTCCCATTGACTCTTCCCACGTAGTCCCTCCTGCTTTCATTCCACTTGTACATATAACCTCCCTTCCCTATTAAGACCTTTCCCCCACTTTTCATGCTACCTTTTGTTTTCATGACCTACACAAACATACATTTAAATTTACATTTCGCATACAAATGAAAACATTTGATATTTGAGGCTTGCTTCTTTCTCCTAGCATAGTGGTGTCCAGTTCCATCCATTTTCTTGCAAGATATGACTTCATTTTTGTATATGTACCCTATTTATCCATTCATCTGTTCATGAGCATCTGAATTGGTTCCGTATCTTAAGTATTATTAATATTCCAGCAATAAATCCAGCAAGTGTCTGTAACAAGTTGGTTTAGAACCCTTCCATATGTACACAGAAGTGGTTATCTGTATTCTTAGTAGTTCTGATTTTAGATGTTTTTAGGAACCTGCACAGGGACTTCTTTAGTGTCTTTTTCTGTTTACATTTGCACCAGCAGTGTATAAGGGTTATCACTGGCGTGCTGCATTTGTTCTCTTAGTGAATGTCATTCTGAAAAAGGGGTTCTCAGAGCTATCTTAATTTTCATTGCCTTGAAGACTCAGGAAGTAGAGCACTGAAATATCTATTGGCAATGTTTATTTAAAAACTGTTACGTCAGTTGATTAGCCCATTCACTGATTGGATCATTTGGCTTTTGGTATTTATTTTTTCCAGTTCTTTATGATTGCTGGATATTAATGCCTGTCTGAGGTAGAGCTGGCAAAGATACTTTCCCCTTCTCTACTGTCTCTTCATTCTGGTGATTATTGCTTTTTTTGTTCAGTGTTGGGGGAAGTCCTGTGCATTTGTCAATAAAGTACTGTTGAGCCTATAGGGAACCAAGATAGGAGGGACTAGGAGTCCAGGAGAACTCTGGGAAGGAGAAAGACAGGGGGTCGAGATGTAACGCCATTGGGGTAGGAAGCCCGGAAACCTCTCCGGTAAGAGACATACTTAGATTAACATTTATGGGGTAATTACTTAAGTCAGAGCTAGCCAGTAAGAAACAAGCAAAGGCCAACAGCTTCATAATTAATATAGCCTCCTGTGTGTTTATTTGGGACTGATGCGGATCTGGAACCAGGCGGGCGAGAAGGCTCCTCTCAAGGAAAGCTTCTCTTAACAGTTCAGAAGCTTCTTATTTCTAGTTGTCGGCTCTCTGGATTTTTCCTGTGCTATAGATCTTTTCAGAAAGTCTTCCTTGGCCCACAGGGGCAGCTGACCTAAACAAGGGGCATCACATGGACCCCAGACTGATGATTGGGGGGCCAGCATGGGACTGATCCAGACATCCTCCCACCGAACCTGGGTGACAGAGAGGAGGCTTTGGCAATCTGTGGGACCTTGGAGAGTGGAGCAGTATTTATTCCTGGCATACAGAGGGACTCTGGGAGCCCATGCCACGTGGAGGGATGCTCTCTCAGCCTGGACACATGGGGAAGAACCTGGGCCATTCCCAGAATGAGGGATGATGTGATGGACTCTGCATATCCCTCATGGAGGCCCTTGCCCTCCCTGGGGAGTGGAGGGGGGATAGAGTAGGGGTGAGGGGTTGGGAGGATTGGGGGTTGGGGGAGGAGGGGAGGGAGAGGGAACTGAAAGTGACATGTGTAAAAAATTAAACAAAAATATGGAAAAAAAGAAATAGGGGTTCTAGAAAGCAAAGAGAAAAAAGTCTTCCTTTATGCCTGTATTTTAAATATATGTATGTTTTTGTCTAGCATTTTCAGATTTTCTTGTCTTTGATCCACTGTGAGTAGTTGCTGCATGCAGGGGTGGAGTCACGGATCTAGTATGATTCGTTTACCTGTGGATACCCGTTCTTCCAGCCCCAGTGTGTGTTTTGACGCCTTTGCTGAAAGTGGGTGGCTCATTAGGAGGCGTGGTCTTACTCTGTGGGTGAGTCTGGAGGTTTCAAAAGTCCTTGTCATACGCCCTGCCATGTTGTTGGTGAACTAACCCTATGGAACTGTGAGGAAGTCTCCAATTAAATACTTTCTTTAGAAGTTGTGGGTGAGCCTGGAGGTTTCAAAAGTCCTTGTCATACGCCCTGCCATGTTGTTGGTGAACTAACCCTATGGAACTGTGAGGAAGTCTCCAATTAAATACTTTCTTTAGAAGTTGCCTTGATTGTGGTGTTTCATCTCAGCAATAGAACAAAATGAGATTTCAGATCATAGGTTTCTGATCATTGAAATCATGTTATCCTAGTGAACAGTTATAAGCAGGGTATCTCACAACATTACAAAGAAAAGTTGGTGGCTCTGCCCGTGTGGGTCCTCTCTTCCATCCCAGTGGTCTGCATGCATGGTTTTGTGCCAATACAATATAGTTAGTGTTGCTATGGCTCCGCAGTGTAACTGAAGTCAGATAAGGTGACACTTGGGCATTGTTTGTTCTATTTAAGGTTGCTTTAAGTACTTAAGGTCTGTGGTGCTTTCATGTGAGATTTAGGATTTAGGGAAACGATGTGCATCTGTGAGTGCTGGTGCCCACTGAGTCCTGAAGAGGGTATTGAATCCCCTGCAGCTGGAGCTACAGCTGTGAGCTACTTGATGGGGTGCTGGGAGCTGAACACTGACCCTTTGCAAGAGCACTGTGTTTGCTTAACTGCTGAGCCAGCTGTAGCGCCAGGCTGTTATATTTAGTTCTGTGAAGAATACTGATATTTGATAGAGATTACATTGAATCTTTAGATTCCTTTCAGCAACTAGCCATTTCCAGTGTTTTCTCCATCCATGGGCGGGGGAGAACTATCCATCTTCTAGTGTCATCTACAGTTGATTTCACCAGTGTCTTCATTTTATAGTGATATTTCACATGCCTAGTTAGATTTATTCCCAGTATGTGAAAAGTTTCTACACCCTGATAAACCTTTCCACCGAAGCAGCAATCCAAAGCAGACCAAATCAAACCGAATTAGAAAAAGGCTGCGTTTAATGGATACAATGCTCCTGAATGGCCTTCCAGCCCCCCCAGAGAGGAGTCTGGGAAATGGAGACCAGAAAAGCCACAAGTCTGTTCTCTGGGGGACAGTTTAAATACCCTGTGGGAGTGGTCTTTAGTATCTCTAGGGCTTGGGCCATCATTTGGTGGGCAGGGTTTGGAGGGAGATGGGGGAGGGGGTTTGGGTGGAACCTCCACCATAACATTCCAGACTCTTCGGGTATATGGATTCCAGGGGCTGTGGCAAAGCTTCCACCATAACACTATGAATATGAGGTTTGTTTTCCTGATTTCTTTCCTGTAAATTTCATTATTGGTGTATAGAAGTGCTACTGATTAGCATGTGTTGGTTTTGTGTCCTGTATTAGATGATAGTGTTTATCCTATCTAAGTGTCTTCTAGTGGAGTCTGAAAGGTCTTTTAAATATAGGACCTATGGTGGTGGCACACGCCTTTAATCCCAGCACTCAGTGGGCAGAGGCAGTCGGATCTCCGTGAGTTCAAGGCTAGCCTGGTCTACAGAATGAGTTCCAGGACAGCCTCCAAAGCTACACAGAGAAACCCTGTCTCGAAAAACAACATAAAACAAAAATAGGACCACATTGTCTACAGATAGGGAAGCTGTGAGCTTTTCTTTTATATCCCTCCCTCTATGTCTGTCTCCTCTACTGCACTAGCTGAAACTTTTAAACTGTATTTTCAGACTGGGAAGAGTGGACATTTCTGTTTCAGTCAGGATTTTGAAGGAAATGTTTTCAAGTTTTCCTCACATGATCATGTTGCCTATACGTTTGTTGTATGTAGACTTATGATCTTGAAATATGTTTCTTTTATTCCTAGTTTATTTGTGGCTTTTATTGTGAAGGACGGGATAGTAAATTTTGTCAAGGATTATTTTTTTTCCTGTCTATTGATGTGATCCTGTTACTTATGTCCTTAACTGGATTTCTTATATTTTTTGTATATATAGATCCAGCTATGCCTCCCTGGGTTGAAATTAACTTGGTCATGATGTATGATCTTAATGTGTTCTTTAAATTTTTTTCTAAATTTTTATGTGTATGAACGTTTTGCTTGTATGTACTGTGTGTGTATTTTGTGCCTACAGAGGTCTGGTTCCCTAGAACTAGAATTATAGACGGCTGTGATCCGTAGAGCAACGGTTCTCAATCTTCCTAATGCTGCAACAGTTTAATACAGTTCCTCATGTTGTGGTGACCCCAACCATAAAATTACTTCTTTGTTATTTCATATCTCTAATTTTGCTTCTGTTATGCACTGTAAAGTTAATTTGGGATTAACTTTAAAGGGGCCACAGCCCACGGGTTGAGAAACACTGGTGTGGATGCTGTGACACAGGCTGGGGTCTTCTGCAAGAGTAGTCAGTGCTCTTAACCATGGCGTATTGGGACTGCTCCCTACTGTGGTCTTGAGTAAGATTTACAGAAACTTTGTTGAAAAGTTTTCTGTGTTCATCAGTGAAACTGTCCCACAGTCTGTGTTTCTTTTCTTTTTTTCTGTATATTTATCTGATTTTGTATCATGGTAATACTAGCTTCATAGGATGAGTTTGGTAATGCTCCTTCTCTTCCTGTCTTGTGTAATTTGAGGAGTATTGTCGTTTTACAGTTTGAGGATTGTTGTTATTTTACAGTTTGAGGAGTATTGGGCTGGGCAGTGGTGGCGAATGCCTTTAATCCCAGCAGAGGTGGATCTCTGTGAGTTCGAGGCCAGCCTGGTCTATAAAGCTACACAGAAAAACCATGTCTCAAAACACCAACAAAACAAAACAAAAAGCCAAAACAGTTTGAGAACTGTTGCTGTTAGCTTTCTCTCACAGGTTTGGTAGAAGCTGACAGTGAATCCATTGGGTCTGGGATTTTACTTTGTGAAAAGCTTTTGATTACTGCTTCAGTCTCATTATTTGATCTGTTCAACTTATTTATATCATCCTGATTCAATAAAATTAAATACCATTAGTAAGTTGTGTGTCTACAAATTTATACATCTCTTACAGATTATGCAGATTTGGGGGTGTAGGTTTCAAAATACTTTCCAGTGAGCCTCTGGATTACATTGGAATCTGCTACAATGTTTTCATCTCTAACTTCATTAAGTTGGGTCTTTCTCAATTGGTTAATTTGGCTAGGAGCTTGTCAGTCTTGTTTATCTTCTCAGAGAACCACTTTTTTGTTTGATTCCATGTGTTGCTCTTTAGTTTTCATTAATTGTTTGCACTAATCTTTATTATTTCTAGCTGCCTTGTCTTGTTCTTGTTTTTATGACCTCAGAGTGCATCAGTATGTTACTTATTTAAGATATCTGTTTCTGGTTTAGGCACTCATAGCTGTACATTTTGGTCTTAGGAATGCGTTAATTGTATCACAAACATTCTAGGAAGTTTTTAATTTTCATTTCTTTTAACAATTATGTTTTAATTTTTAATTTTCTCATTCTTCAGTGACTCACTGGTCTTCAAGAATGAATTGTTAAATCTTCAAGTATTTGTGTAGTTTCTGTAGCTTTTCTTGTCTTTGTCTATTTTTAGTTCACTGTTGCCTGACAATCCAAGAGATTATTTCTGTCCTTTCATGTTTAGGATTTGCTCTGTGATGTAGAATGTCATCTACTTTAGTGATGGTTACATGAACTGTGGAGAAGAATGTATTCTTCCATTGATAGAATATTCTCCAGCTATTTATTAGCTCTATTTGATTAATGATGTAGTTTAACTCTGAAGTATCTTCAGTAATGGTGTGTTTCTATTTAATATGGTAACATCCTCTTGACCAATTATTCCCTTTTGTTGTATAGCAGTTTCTTCCAATTGAGGAATTTTGGAGTTTAATACCTCCGAGCCCCGATCCACTTGTTTGCCTTTCACTTCTGTAGATGCTCCAGCCAAAAACTCCAGACATCCACATCCTTCCAGCAGCAAGATCAGTACTTAGGGGCATACAAAGTACAAATCCTTTGTCTATAGAGTGTTGTGGTTGCTTCCTGACGCCCATTGCGTTTGGGAGACAGGCTGAATGTTGTCACCCCAGAGAAGGGTGTATAATCTGGGGAGATGGGAAGTTGGTCTATGAAGCTAAGTGGATCTGCTGGCCACACTTAGCTTTACAGAGTAGCTGGCAGTGTCTTTCCTCCAGGGCCTATCTGATCTTGTAGATCAGACTTCTGTCTCCGCTGCTTGCTCAGGGTCCCACGGGTGGAGCTGTATCGTTTGCCTGGCTTGTTTTCTCTGCATTGCCCATTCTTTTGTTAGCACTCTGTACCCTTATATCATCACTCAGCCCATTTCTGAAGCTCTCTTTGCTTTTGGAATAGGCACTGATTTTCTTTCTTAGCATGTCACATGTAGGCAGTTTCTAGTCCACTTTCTAACTGGAGGGCCTTAAGCTAAAGTTACACTGCTTTCTGGAAATCATCTGATAAGTAGCCTGTTCAGAGAAATGGATAGTCAACTTCTAAAAACCCAACATGGTGCCAATACTAGGAGGTTCCAACAGTACAAATGACTCTGCTGTGGGGCGTTGTTGATGGCCCTAAGCAGCCAAAACAAAGTAGTCTGCCTGGAGTTGTTCTTTTTTATCATCTTGGTACATTGAATGCAGAGGTAAAACTTTCCTTACTGTTTGACCATAAATCTTTTACTTCAAAAGACAGTTTGGGCAACATTATCTCACTTTTTGATTTTCTGCATCAAAATTTATTTTCATTATTCCCACCATCTTCAAAGCAATATACCAAGTGCTGTAAGTATGTAAAAAAGAGAAGTCACTTCTCTTCACCCCTTCACCTCTTCAGCCCCTTCACCCACTGAGACTGATTCTAATGATGAAAGTGGGATATAACCAGTTTTCTAAGGTATAAAGCAGAAATGAGAGTGTTAAGGGAGGCGGGGAGAGCACGCTGTTAATAAAGATGTAACCATGTACACGTGTGAGAAGCCTTTCCCGCACTGTGAAATGTATCATAAGCAGGAAATACTTACTTTAGCTCTTAATTTTTACAGCAAACATAGAACATCATACACGGAGTCCATGGTCAGATAAGATACTCTTGGAAGCCGGGAAGCGAAGAGTAGAAATGGAAAGATTGGGCCCCAGTAGCCTTCAGGGCACACCACAAACAACTTCCTTTGGCTTCTGCTATCTCCCAGTAGGCCACAGGCTGAGGATAAAGCTTTTAGCTCGTGGGCCTCTGGGGAGTGAATGTACAGAAACTAGACTCTATAGCATTGTGTCGTTGGCCTCCGTAGTCACACGTCCATCTCAAAGTATGACATGTCTTCAGCCTATCCCTGAGTGTCCCAAAGTTTCACTGCTCTGATATTGTTCCATGTCTCCTGAGACTCGAGGCAAATGTACAGGTGTGAGACCCTGAAGAAAAGAACTAAAAACCAAGTTACGTAATCCAAAGTGCAATGGTGTGGGGTAAATGTTTCTTTTTCAAAAAGGGAGGAAATAGGAGTAGAAAAAAGAAACCCAAGAAAACAAACGTTAGCGCCTGGTACTCCACACCTGGCATCCTGGACACACTGTGGCATATGATAACCAAGGGATCGGGAAACCCTTTCCATGTAGACTGCACGAGACAGTCCACATAGTCATGTAGCTGGGGCTGGCTCTCCTCACTGTACTTTCCCTACATGTTTTCTTTCCCATGTTTCTGTTTCTGGCGTCTAACTGCTTTTTATGCATTTGGTTCCTTGGTTATGCAATACTGGTTTGTGTGTGTGTGTGTGTACACGTGTACGTTTATGTGAGTACAGGACAAGTTATGTGAATTTACTAGCATATTTTATTTAATTTAAAGTAGCACATAAACGGAAGGGTGTTAGATTTAGCCATAATTTTCAGAGATAAAAGCTAAGCCTACAGTAATCAAAAGGTTTACTTGAGGTTAAAATGTGGGATACTGGGAGTTGGCCCCAGGTTTATCTTAGAAGCCTAAACACTTATCTCTTACTGAGGTCAGAGAGAGACTTGTGAGTTGTAAGCACAGAACAGATATTAACCACAAGCAACACATGACACTAGGAGAGAAAATTGGGCATATCAGATAATATGGCCCCAGACCAGTGTTAGGAACTCTTGTGCCACCCCTGGTGTCTTGACCAGATGTGTCTACTGATCCCATTTTTGACCTGCTCATTCTCCCCCTTCCTGAAGCCATCACTGATGCTTTGTCACTTTCTCATTGTCATCATTACCAGTTAATGATCGTTTCCCTATGACCATTTGTGACCACTTCTCTTTTTCTCTTTGGGAAAACCCCAACTCTGGGTAAAACAAACTCTATTTTCTACGTAAGCCTGAGCAACTCAGTATTTGAAAAATGCACACCTACGTTAATTGGCCTTATATTGCATTCAGAACCACAAACTTCAAATAGGAACGAAGCAAAATTAATTAGTCCTGCTAAATACTCCTAATAAACTTGTCTTTTGCTTTTCACAATAACTGCTTTACCTTCCTTCTCTCAAATCTACATACTCTCCCCTTCTTCACTTTTTGCTGATACCTTACCCTCACTTTATATTTAAAGTGTAAGTTCCAACTGAGAAAGCTGGAACATTATCCCCTCCTTTCCCATCCTTAATTAATCATCTCCTTTCACATCAACCAACCTTGTCCTTGTTTTCACATGGAAGCTGGCTCTTCCTTCCTATGTAAGACAAAATCTGCCTGGTGCTCAAATTCTGTTCCCCTTTTTACTTCGTGGGAATTTTGCTGTCTCTAGCTATGATATCCCTACCCTCTCCATCACTGTGACATTACTAACTATGGCCTAGTTTGTATGCTTTCTCCCTACATCTGAGACTTGTCTGTATTTTCTATTTTCATCATTCATCTCCTATCAGGCTCCTGTGTTTCTGTCCCCATCATTTGCTGAGAAACTCTTTTTTAGTAGTAAGTCATTTCATACAGTTAAATGCTTCCTGACATCACAGGCCTTATTCTCAGCTATTCCAGATGTCCCTCTTGTACTTGCTAAGTGTCCCTTTCCTCTCACCACCCGCCTGTACCAGGAATCTGCACCATCCTGTGGTTTTAGATGCTGTTATCTTTTATCCCAGTGACCTCAGAGCCTCTGTTGCCATGCTTAACCGCTTAAAAGTGAGTTTGATGTAAGAAACTTGACCTGAACAAAGTATGACTTTCACTACATATAAAAACTCTTCCTCCTGTCATTGGCACTTCAGTAAATAATATGCCAACGAGTGCATTTGATCAAAACTGTCTTTATAGGTCGGGGGATCTCTTTAACCTTTATTGCATGACTGAATACATAGAAAATTCTGTTTGCTTGTGAACTGTTTCACCGGTTGCTTTTCCCTAGTTGCCCTTATTTACTGTGTGTAGTTGTCTTCAGAATTGGCTTGGGTAAGCTTTAGAGGCATGGCAGGCATGGTGCTGTGGAAGTAATTGAGAGCTACATCCTCACCTGCAGGCAGGGGTGGGGGGCTGGGCCTGGCTTGGGCTTTTGAAACATCAAAGCCCAGTAACTTACCTGTTCCAACAAGGCTATTCCTCCTAATCTTTCCAAACAGTTCCACTCCGTGGTAATTAAGCACTAAAATATATGAGCCTATGGGAGCCATTTTTACTCAAACCACCACAGTTACCATTCTAAGCTAGCTCCTAGTCTAAGGAAATTACTTCCATCACTATTGGGCTTCTTAATCTTGGAGTACAAGGTAGTTTTAAAAATACTGCAGTAGTATGTGAGTGGGAAAGGGGACTATGGTATGAATACAGTGCTGTCTCCCTAAAAATTTTATGAACAAAAGAATAAAATTAGAACATCCATGAACATAATATTCATAATAGGAATTTCCAATCATGTGAAGAGAGGAGAAAAGAGAAAGAAAGGGAGTTATGTGGTGAGATCGGAAACAAGAAACTTGGTTCCCTCCAACACATAGTCTCCCTCCTAAATGTCCTGATTCCCCAGTCCCATTATATCAGGGAATGAGTGGTGGCAAAGCACATCAGAGTCACCAAGGATCTTGTCATGCTTAGTAGGTGGTTGTTGATACTCCCTGGTGTTGTGGGATTCGCTGAAGGATTTAAGCATCAGATTGATGGTACTGGCCTATGATTCCAACAGAAAATAGGCTGAGGAAAAAGGCCCAGAGTTAGTGAGCAGAAAGCCTTACCATTCTGACTAGGAATGTTGAATACATAATAAGCTTCTCAGCCAGGTGGTGGCACACACCTTTAATCCCAGCACTTGGGAGGCAGAGGCAGGGGGATCTCTGTGAGTTCACACCAGCCTGGTCTACAGAGTGAGTTCCAGGGCAGCCTCTAAAACCAGAGAGAAACCCTGCTTCAACCACCACCCCCAAAAAATAAGCTTCTCAGTTGCTCTGTCAGTTAGCATCTCTGTCATACAAGAAACGGTGTGGTTAAGAGAAGCATCGTTTTTTATATTCCTAAGTGTTCTCTCTCTACCTCTTCCTCGGCTAAACTTGAAAGGAACAAATTGTTTGCTCTAAACACAATTATATTGGGAACCCAATTATGACAGTTGCTCAGTACTAAAGTAACATTCCTTTTTTCCCACAGGTCCGCCAACCTGTTGTATGCACCAACAACCATGTGTTTTGTTCCATCTGTATCGACTTGTGGTTGAAGAATAACAGCCAGTGTCCAGCTTGCAGAGTTCCTATCACTGCAGAAAATCCTTGCAAAGAGATTATTGGTAAGGGTCTATCTTATATGTACCTAAGACAACTTATAAACAGTGTTTGTTTGGGGAAGACTGATATAAAGTTTTCATTGTTACAGATTAACTTCATATTGGATTTATTAGTAATTATATATAGTCTATGTAGTGCAAAGAACCATGAAAGATCTGAAATAACCCGAATGCCCCATGCCTCTTACATTAGAAACTGCAAGTGAACAGAAATATTAATGTTTTAAGGTCACAGGTGCAAAGAAGGGAAAAGAAAGGACAGAGAGTATTAGAAAGAAAGTGAGGAACTCTGAGGACGGCTTGATAAAGCTGGTTTTGAGCAAGGAAGTGGTGTGCCCCGAAGTATGCTTTAGGTATGTTGCTTGGGTGGTGATGTGGGGCCTGTACTTTGGAGGCTAGACAAAATTTAGAGAGACAGATTGGAGACTCTGGTCCAGTCAAGGATAAGGTGAAGCCAATTGTAGCATGAATAATAAAAACCCAGAGACAGATAATGGCATTCGAGCTGAAGGTCAGAAAAGCAAAGCAAACAACCACTAGAGAGTTCTAACCTCTACCAAGGTTGGGGCGATCCTGTCCTCAGCGTGATTGGAGACTGAATGCCACAAGAGTACTGAATACCCCAATGAGACACTGAGCTCCTGTCTTATGTATCTCTCTAGTGCTGGGATTAAAGACTTACACCACCACTACCCAGCTTCTGTGGCTAACTAGTGTGGTTGCTGGGATTAAAGGTTTGTGCCACCACTGCCTGGCCTCTGTGGCTGTAGCTTTGCATACTGGTCTTCAGTCAAGCTTTATTAGATCATAAACAATATATCACCACAGCTAATTAAGGTTTAAAAGAAGAAAATTAGTGCCATATTAGGAGAGGCAAGAGGAGTTTCAAACCAGAGCTAGGAAAATAGCACATTCAGAGAGACTCCTTCATTTTAGTTTGGTTTTTCTTTAGTAAACATTACAAGTGAGTCTATAATGAGCCACAGGTGGACACAGCCTTTCAGAAAACTTGAGTAGTTGTAGTGGTCTAAACTTAGGGGAAATTGTCTTATACACTGTTTGGGGTGGAAATGGAAAGGAAAAGACTGAGTGGGACTTGGGGATCCAAAGCTTCTGTTACGGCCACAGGGGTGAAGTCATACTTACACTTACCTTCAGCAAGGAGTCAGGTCCTTGTGTAGGATGAGAACATTGATAATTAAACTAGTTTAATGCTTGTCCTTAGCTTTTCATTACCTTTCTTACTGCCTTATTCATTCCTATCTAAGTAGTATGAATGAACTCTCTGGAATAAATAGTTTGTTCATCCTTGCGTTTGGATAGACTGTCCTGAAAAAGAACATCTATAAAATGTTTTTGCTATTGTAACTGCAAAGGCAGTAGCCCCAGTATTAGTTCAGAATTCATATTGGGTATATTTCTCACAAGTTGGGGTACACAGCTAATCAGTCCTTTGTAACTGGGTCATTGGAATCAGTGTGATTGTGTTACCAGTACCCATAATTGTTTTAATTAACAGTTGTTTTCAATTTGTGGTATTCAAAATTGATAAATTAATCCTATGTAGCCTCCTCTTCCATCTCTATCGCATATTTTCCTTTTCATTTCCATTACAGTGTTTAAGACAATTTCCCCTAATTTTAGACCACTACAACTATTCAAGTTTCTGCAAGGTCTGTCTACCTGTGGCTAATTATAGACTCACTTGTAATGTTTACTAAAGAAAAACAAAAACTAACCCTTAAAGTAAAAATAAAACACCAGGAGTCTCTCTGGACTTGTTATTTTCCTAGCTCCTGTTTGGAACTCCTCTTGCCTCTCCTAATGTGGCACTAATTTTCTTTTTAAACCCTAATATGCTTCACATTATCCTCAACTGGGAAGTTATGTAATACAGTATGAAAAAGGTCCGTTTTCATTTTGCCCAAGCAGCACTGAGGATTGTTTTTCCCTCCAGGAGGAACAGGTGAAAGTGAACCTTTGCTGAGCCCTACAGTCAGGAAGCACCTTCGGAGAACACGACTGGAACTGCTCCACAAAGAGTATGAGGTAACCGTCACTGCTCTCCTGGGATTTCTGCAGTGAGCATACGGGAGAAACCAGCCACGCCCCATACATCTTAGACCCTGGTCCTCCAATTTGATCTTTTTATTTGTTTCGGGTCTTTTCTTGGAAGGAAGGGTTGTTTGGTTTCTGAGAGCCTTGTGATCCTTGAGATTACACACATACACCCCCGTGCCTTCTCTGAAACCTTCAGTACTATTCTAAACGTATTCGATGAGTTCTTCCTTTTCTACTTCAAATAGAAAAATGGTTTTATGTAAGTAAAGGACGCATGACTAGGATTTCATAGAAATGGAAACAATTTCCTTTTTCTTTAGCATTGTTTTCTAATGTGTGATTTTTACTCTGTGTGTGTTTTGTTTGCATGGGTGCCTGTGTGTCATCTGAGTGCCTGGTGTCTGAGGCTGGAGAAGGTGTTGATCACCTGGGACTGCCATGTGGGTGCTGAAACCAAGCCCGGGTTCTCTAGAAGAGCAGCCAGTGCTCTTAGTCACTGAGCCAGCTACCTCTCCAGTTCCCTGTCTTTAAAACTGTGTGTATGTGTGTGTATTGTTTGTTTAATAAGTTGTACCTCTACCAGTCATTTTGTATTTGTTCCTTTAAAAAATGAGCAATTAGATTAATTAATTGAGTTCCCTAAGTGGAACTTGTTACTACCTATAGATGGACTGATGATTATAAACATGACCAATTCTGGTACACTAAATAAATGTTATGTCATCTGCTAGCTTAGGGATTTCAGTGTGAAATATGTTATTTCTAATTTTTGTCTAAAGGTAAATAAACAGACTGATGATTTACAGTGAATGTGGAATTGTTACAAATGAATTCATGCTTCTGGAATAAATACACTTTTGAATGTTGTCATTTTATCTTCACTAAAAGAGGGGTATAGATTTTATAATATATACATATGTGGGTGTACATGTATATATTATATTTGCTCTAGTGTTACAGGAAATAGTTGAGGAAAGGCTTTTTGTGGGGTGCAGCATACACAAAGAGAAAGACCCTCTGCAAAGCCAAGGGAACTTGTGAATCTGAAAATTTTAGTCTTTTTCTCATGGGCTGGGGTTTTTTTGAGACACTGAAGGTTTTCACCACCTAATTTAGGGTTGGTCAATTTGAAGAAAGACAGAATGACTGATTGGCCCACAACAAATATTTATACTACTATATAAATATAGTATAATAGAAAGTATCTTTAAATTAAACTCTGCACATGGAAACTACCCCAGCTTCCTCAAACATTTTAATACATTGGGGCATAAGTAATGGAATAAATGTTCATTGCTACATCATATGTTTTTCACATTTATTAATATATCAATGTTTGTTTATTCATTGATATATTGATTTAAAGAATGTAGCTTGTTATCCTGAGTATGGTGGCACATCTTTAATTCCAGTACTTGGGAAAAAGAAGAAAACAGAGGCAGGCAGATGTCCCTGAATTCATGATCTGCTTGGTCTACCTAGTGAGTTCCAGGACAGCCAGAACTACAGAGAGCAGTGGTTCTCAACCTTCCTAATGCTTCGATCCTTCAATACAGTTTCTCATGTTGTGGTGACCCCCAACCATAAAATTATTTTGTTGCAACTTCATAACTGAAATTTTGCTACTGTTAGGAATTATATGTAAATATCCTGTAAATATATGTAGGATATCTGATATGTGACACCTATGAAAGGGTTGTTCCACCCCAGGTTGAGAACCACGGACACAGAGACCTTGACTCAGAACCAACAAACAACAAAAATGTTGGGTAGGGGAGAACACAGCTTCTTTTAGAATGCTTTGAAATCTGTGGTAATTTACTAGTAAATAGTACTGTGACAAATCTAAAATGCACTTTCCATAATTAATAAATGTCATAGTACTAACACAGGTCCTTGACTTAAGTCTGTTTTCTCTTGCTTTAAAATCAGAACATCTGAAACTGGTTTATGCTTTTACAGGTTAATGTTAAAGCATTATCAAAATGATGGTGGAGAAAACGAGATGAGAGAAGAAAGTGCCAGAGATCCTTTTGTTTGTTAAGTCAGGAGCCCATTCACTGATAAACTAGATATCAGCATTAACCCATTCATGAGGGCCTTGTGGCCTATTCACATGTTGATGTTTCCTCCTTGTGATGTTATCACAATGGCAGTTACATTTCAGCAGGAGATTGGGAGGAACATTCAGACAAGCACTGACTTTTAGAGTTTATTTTCTGTTAGAATTTTTAACAGCCTCAGATTAAGAAGAATAAATGGTGTTACTCTGTGCCTCTGCTTCTTGCTCAGGATGGTTGGCTACATTGGTCGATGAGAGTTGTGGGAGCAAAAGTGAGGATCAGGTAAAGATAGCTGTGGGTGCAACAGAGACAGCCTCCAGGAGACAGACTTAGGTGAATCAGCTCAATTTTATTCAATAGTATAAGGAATATATAGGATTGGAAATCCTCGGGACAAACCCAGATTTGCTTAAGTGGTAGGCTCCAATCACCAGGCTTTGTGTGTGACAGTAGGGTCCTATCAAAATGGCTAGAGCACTTGCCTAATTACCATGTGGGTCATCAGGAGAAGAGCACTTGCTTGGAACTGTGTCAAGGGTCACCCTTGAGATAAGTCAGGCATGTCCTCCAGTTAAGGCTAGGTAAAGAGCCAGAAGCTTTCACTGGAGGGGAGGGAGTCTTCCATGTTGCTGAGCATAGAGAAAGCTGCCAAGCTGTGGTAGTCTTCAGCCTCTGATCAGCAAAGCCTTCCAGAAGAACCTGCCCCAGATGTTTGCAGTCACACTCAGAGCAAAAGCAGTTCCAGAGTAGAGAGGCAGATATTTGGCATGGCCTGACTAATGGTGCAAGACCCACTACTGCTATTAATCTGGAACAAAACGTGGAAGGGTTTCGTTTCTTTCCTACTTCAGATATACAAACAAAAGTATAAACAAATTCTGGTTACATTTTCTGTAAAGCAATTAACGCTTCAAGTTTTCCTTCTGAATTGGAATCTACTTTTTTTGTTGAAATTCTTGTTTTTTACTTTTTGACGATATCTTAAAGGTTGGCATTTATAAAACCAGAGCTGTCTTTGAATTAAAATGTTAGTGTGGTACCAATTTTTATGAGAGTCAAAAAACATTTTGAGAATTTAGACTGACTTTTTCCTTGCAAAACTGTTAACATATATAAAGGGCCCATGTATGTATAAAAATTTGAGTATGATATTCAAGAACACATTGACTGTGGCTTAGCATATACAAGCTTTAGTCCATAACTAACTACTGAATTCCATACTCTTTCAGGACGAAATAGATTGTTTGCAGAAAGAAGTGGAAGAACTGAAAAGTAAAAACCTCAGCTTGGAATCACAGATCAAGACTATTCTGGATCCTTTAACCCTGATGCAGGGCAGCCAGAGCGAAGACAAACAGCCTGTGGCAGACACTCCAAGTAAACTTGACTCAGAAACAGTAGCAGAGTGGAAGAAAAAGCTCAGGACAGCTAACGAGATCTATGAAAAAGTGAAAGATGATGTGGACAAGTTAAAAGAGGTAAGCTGCAGTCTTGGGGGGACACCTATGGTGGTTATTTTTGAAGTTCTACAATATTTTAAGTACTTTCACAAGTATAAATAGCCATGTACCTTGACTCACCATTAGCTGCTTTGTGAGAGCAGGACAAAACCCTGGATGAGCATTTACATGCAATGGGAAAACGTTGTCTCATTAGCTGTCATTAGCTGCCGAGAACTATCAGGTGGTTTCATTTGTGACTATAATTGGAGACTCAGTAGTGCTTGTATATGAGTGCTTCTGGAAGAGTTACATCGGTTAAAAGGATGTGTTTCTGCCCCCCCCCCACACTCCCTGTGGTTTGCCTTAATTTTTTTTAAGCTTACAGCCGTGGCTGCTTTGTGGTCATTGAAGCAAACATCCCATTCCCTGCTTAGCAAAGAAACATTTATTTGCTTGTTTTTTGAGGCAAGATCACACTACATAGCTGAAGATTGTCTGGAACTTGCTATGTAGCACAAGCTGGCCTCAAACTAACCACCCTCCTGCTTCAGACTCCTCCTAGTATTAGGATTAACAGTGTACCCAGCTGAAGAAAAGATTTTAACCATACCTTTCCTAGCACTACCATTGTGTGATTTTGAAAGCTGAATATAAGTACATATTGAAAGTTTACTAATTCAGAGACAGCTGTGAGCATCTACTTTAAACCACTTATGCAGAAGAGTAATGTGGCATATGAGGCTGATTCATTTTCCTATTTGTCTATCTATCTAGCAAGATACAGAGAACATTAGTCCAGGGTGGGGAAGCAGACTTTTAGGATTTTTTTAAATCTAGAAAGGAGATAAAGATGCAATCCATTAACAGTAGTACAGTGACAGGTGTTGTATTGCTCTCTGGGACAAAGACCAGCCTCAAGCTTGACTTTAGAATTGTCTGCCCTGGAGTACAATAGTGCTAAATGGGTATGGTTTTACAGCACTTGTTTCTACAACCTCCCTTTAACCTATCTGTATTCCCTTAAATGCAGTTCTTGTTCTGAATTACTGTGTCTTCAGCCATGAAATCGTTAATGGCTCCGTATGACATTTTATAGAAGAACCACTGCATATTAGCGCTCATGCCTTCAGTGAGGTTAGGTTCAGAGAAACATCAGAGAAACTCAGGGCAAACCATTTTCCATATATAAAACAAGTGCTCTGTGATTCATAAAGGCCAGTGTGAAAGGCAGAGGAAAGCTGCTTTCAGAAGACAGGAAACTGCATACATACTTGCCTGCATTTTTTGAAGGAAGTATGTAGTTCACTTGTGAATGGACAGCCATAGTGTAAACGTGTTGCCTTTGTTAAAAGGTAAGACAAACTAAAGCAGGAGTTTCTCCTTTGACTTCCTTGTTTTTCTCTGAGTCACCAGCAAGCTGTGTATGGTCTCCTATAGTTACTAGATTCTTGGCAGAAATACTTCTTAGAGCATGACGCTCTATGCAGAATTCACTCTGGGCTAATATCACTATGAAGCATATATGAAAAGAAGGCTATGCAAAACACAGTTACGTTGATATTCAGTACTTATAGATATCCTAAGACATCACAGTTATTTGGGATATTTAATAAGCCTGTTTGGGGTACCCAGTGATATATTAGGTAATAAATTATAAGTGAGTAAGAAACATAACTACAGAAACAAAATGCAGATGTGAAGTACAAATAATGATCTGTGTCAGATGCAGGAAAACAAACTATTCAGTGAAGTAAAAGTTGGTATGAGCAAATGGACTTCTGATGCTGCCTGGAGTCAGTGAGTTGGGAAACATTGAGGCATCATTCCCAGTCAGGGTTGAGAATGGACAATAATTAAAGTCTGTGCTATCCTCAGGTACTATAAGTAGGCAGAACTCTACTGTTTGTAATCTTTATTTCCTTTTAATAGTTAAGAGATATCCAGCCTATAATGAGAAGTATTAAAAAGTCACAGGACTGGTGAGGACCTTCAAGCATACTGGTATGGTAGTAATATCAATATTAGGGCTGGGTGTAGGGAAGGAAGTCAGGTGACTTCTAATTTAAGCTTCTTGTCATCAAAAAATATTCACTAAGTGTGCCTCCCTTTATGGTGCTAAGCTTGGAAGTGTAATTCATTGTTGCTATGTATGAGGAAGTAAATGGCTTTCCTTGTATCTTCAGGGGGGTAATAATGGTGTCCATCAGTCACTTAACAAATTAATCCTCCACCATCCTGGTTAATGTGCATCCCTGACGGTGAGAAAGTATTCAGAGCCCAAAATGAACCTGCATAAGTTTGAGTAAAAGTATAGGCTACAAAAGAATGTTCTCTACCCGCCTTTCCTTGTTATTGTTGAGGTACAATTGTATGTAAGTAGGTAAGTAATACATTCTGGAAGTTAGTCAAAAACTTTGGTCTTTTTTTTTTTTTTTTTTTGCTAAATCTGTTTTAAAAACTTCTTAGGTTACTCTTTTCTTTTCCCTGACAGTAATTCTATGACTTGTTAACTACGAACATAAATGTTCTAACCATAGCATTTTCTTTGCTGGATGAGTAAGCTTGGTGGCTAATCTATAGAGTTTAATTTTGTTAGTACTATACAAATGCAGTAACAGAAATTTAAATGAAGGAGCTTTTAAGAAAAGTCTAAAGTCTAGACCAATGGAATCAAATTGAAGACCCTGATATTAACCTATACACATATGAACACCTGATCTCTGACAAAGAAGCTAAAACTATAAAATGGAAAAAAGAAAGCATCTTCAACAAATGGTGTTGGCATAACTGGATGCTGGCATGTAGAAGACTGCAGATAGATCCATGTCTGTCTCCATGCACAAAAAGTCCAAATAAGTCAACATAAATCCAGCCACACTGAACCTCTTAGAAGAGAAAGTGGGAAGTATCCTTGAACAAATTGGTAAAGGAGACTGCTTCCTGAACATAACACCAGTAGTACAGACACTGAGATCAACAATTAAGAAATTAAGAAGTTTCTGTAAGGTAAACAACACAGTCAGCAAGACAAAAAGGCAGCCAACAAAATGGGAAAAGGTCTTCACCAACCCCACATCTGACAGAGGGCTGACTTCCAAGAAGCTAGCCACCAAAATACCAAACAATCCAATTAAAAAGTTGGATGCAGAACTAAATAGAGAATTCTCAGTAGAGGAATCCAAAATGCCTGAAAAACACTTAAAGTGCTCCACATCCTTAGCCACTAGGGAAATGCAACTCAAAACATCTCTGAGATACTGTCTTACACTGACCAGAATGGCTAAAATCAAAAACACCAATGACAGTCTATGCTAGAGAGGATGTGGAGAAAGAGGAACACTCCTCCACTGCTGGTGGGAGTGGAAACATGTATGACCGCTTTGGAAATCAGTATGGTGGTTCCTGAGGAAAATGGCAATCAGTCTACCACAAGATCCAGCGATTCCTCCCTTGGGCATATACCCAAATAATGCACATTCATACAGCAAGGACATCTGTTCCCCTCTGTTCATAGCAGCATTGTTTGTAATAGCCAGAACCTGGAAGCAACCTAGATGCCCCTCAACTGAAGAATGGATGGAGAAAAGGTGGTACATTTACACAGTGGAGTATTAATCAGTGGAAAAATACAATGAAATCTTGAAATTCACAGGCAAATGGATGGAAGAAATAGAAGAAACCATGCTGAGTGAGGTAACCAAGTCACACAAAGACAAGCTTGGTATGTACTCATTCATACATGGATATTAGACATAATATTAGATATTAGCGAAGGACTACCAGAGAAACTAGGAAACAAGAAGGACCCCAAGAGAAGAACACTTGATTCCCTGAAGAAGGGGAGGGGGACAAGAACCCCTGAGCAAACTGGGAGCCTGGGGGTGAGGGTTGGGGGAGGAGAACAGGAAGACTGAAACAGGGGAGGGCAAGAAAGGAGATGCCTGGAGAGAGGGAGCCAGCACAGGTTTAGAGAGAGGTCTGGCACAGGGGAAATGGTAGGGGATCTACAGGGATGACTCCAACTAAGAATCTAGGCAGTGGTGGAAAGGCTGCCTTTGATGTCCTTCCCCTATAATGAGACTGATGACTACCTTGGTTGTCATCCTAAAGCCTTCATCCAGTAGCTGATCGAAGCAGAAACAGGCACCCACAGCTGAGCACTGAGCCACACTCCTGGAGTCCAGTTGCAGAGAGGGAGGAGTGATGAGCAAAGGTGTTAAGACACTGCTGGAGAAACCCTCAGAAACAGTTGACCTGACCTAGTGAGAGCATGGAGACCCTAGTCATAAAGCTGGGAACCAGCATTGGACAGAACCAAGCCCTCTGAATGTGGGTGCCAGTTAGGAGGCCTGGGAAGTCTATGGTACCTCTAACAGTGGAGCCAGTGTTTATCCCTAGAGCACAAATGGACTTTGGTAGCCCATTCCCTATGGAGGGATACTATGATACTATTGCATTCCAGATACGGGAAGGAGGGTCTGGGACCTCCTCCAAATGATGTGGTAGACTTTGATGATCCACCATGAATGGCCTCACTGTCCCTGGGGAGTGGGTGGGGAGGATGAGAGGGCAAGGGAATGGGGGATTGATATGTAAATAAGAGTGCTTCTAAAATAAAAAAATACTTTAAAAAAAAGGAAAATTCTAAAGTCTAAAAACACTGATCCTCCATTAGGCTATCTGACACTGAGCGGCTAGCTTCCTTCCCTCCTTTTTGTAACAGTCTATGTATTCCAGATGAACTACTGTATGTTTTTAGTAATTTTTAGGCATTGAACAAATCCAGAAAAAAAAAGTTACGCTTGAAGGACTCTTTTCTTACATATGTATGTCAAAGGACAATTACAAGCTTACTAGAAAATACTGCCCAAAATTTAAGGGTATTAGAAGTTGGAAGACAGAGAATAAGAAAGACCTATTAAAGAAAGAAGATCAGTACCTTACTTGTGCTAGATTTATCACTGGAGAGGTGTTTAAGTTGTAACCAAGAAATTAGTATTATGCTTTAAGAATTAACACTTTAGCATTAGTTTGTAAATTCTTGTGTATGATATAATCTTGTCTTGTTTAGAGCATTCAATTATGGAAAAATGAAAAGAAAAGTAATACATATATTTACCATTAGCATGGTCCCTTAGTGCCTTTGGGCTATCTAACTAGCACAGCTTCATTTCCCTGAGTAGAGGATTGAGGAAGTGCTTGGGGAATGGAGATTTTAAATGCCTCGCTGTATTTGCAGTTTCAAGATATTCCCACTGGTGATTTTATGTTTCTGAGGCCTGTGTCTGGTTGTCAGTTTTCCATATTGCTGTAAGAATACAGATGGCTAATGTAATAATTTTTACAAGGTACTTCTATGTTAGCTTATGTTAATTATCTTTAAACTCTTCTTTTAGGCAAATAAAAAGTTGAAGTTGGAAAACGGTGGCCTTCTGAGGGAGAATTTACGACTAAAGGCTGAAGTTGACAACAGATCTCCCCAAAAGTATGTATCTCACAGGGCAAGATGTCTGCTTGTCTTTTAAATGACTCTGATGGCTTGTGATTCCCATCTGACTTATCATTTAGAAAAGTTGAATGTTTCTGAAAGTCAAGTACAAGTCTTGATTTCAGTTGAGGCTAATGTAGAAAACAGGATTTCATTCTAAACACTTCTCATTTTTTGATGTATAAGAATGTTGTTTCATGTTACCTAAGACAAATGAGTCTTTGCTTGGTTTTACATGCAGCTATTTACAGTACTTATGAACCCTGAGATTAAAACAGTACCCTTTACCTATTTTCTGACATGCTCTTGATAATGGTTAATTGTCCATATAATGCCTTCTCTGTCTCATAAAATAAGATGTGATATAAATTACTACTCCCAAGGCAGGGGGGAGGCACAGAGAGATTAAACCCACCTATTTAAATCTGCTTGGTAGTAATCATTTGAACTCAGTACCACCCCAGATTCTGAGGACTTAGCAACTACAGGAAAAAGATTTGTCTGAAATAAAATAAGGCGTTGTCCACTAAATCTTGGACTGCAATTTTGAAACTGTAAAGAAATGAACTGACTCTTCTTTTATGATGGTGGAGTCTTCAGTCTGTGGTAGAAGTTAAGTTTTGGCCTGCTTAGTATTTAATTTGATGTGTCTATCTAAAGTGGTAAGAAAGAATGAGGAGCTAAGGGGGGAAGATGGAAAAGAGATGCGAGCACTTTTGGAGTCTTCACTTCCCCTCCCCAGCAGGAAATGGTCAAGTGAGGAGGCAGTGTGGTAGCCAAGGTATGCAGCTCTGAAGGACGTGTATTGGAATGCCACATTTCCTTGCTGCTGGCCTCGAGACTTCATGTTTCTGTTGTAAGAAGACAAAGCAGGAATAAGTAAATAATGGACATGTATCCTGCCAGAGAAGAAACAGCGCTTGTTGAATACAGTGTGGTTTAGGCAATGGTAAAGGAAAACCCTAACTACACAGAAGGGAGATTACAAACCCGTGGAGGAGAGGCAGAACTTTTACTCTGCAGTGTTCCCTTCTCCCATGCTCTCTGGTCCTGCTTTTCTTTCCCGTCTGACAAATGAGGGAAATAAGCTGGGGAAGGGTTGCTTGTGTGTGGGCTTGAATCTCTGCTGTTGGCAGTTCGCCCTGCCAGTCACAGTAATGCTTGTCCATTAGCCGTTTCCACAGTGCACTGAATGGAATGAAAGCTATCTTCTCTGTAGCTTTTATTTCTTGAAAAGTTGCCCACCAGATTTCAAGTTTAATGCCAGCCACAAAGATGTGTGCTTTTAAATATCCATGACTTCTATGAAATAAATAAGTGGCGAGCCTCACCTGAGGAAATATGACCTCTGTGTCCTTGCAAACAAACAGCCACACATGAATCCAGCAGCACTGAAGCATTTGCCATCTTTAACATATTTTCCTTCTTCTCTTCACGGGAAGGGAACAGTTGTACTTGAACAGTGATTTGAGCTGACGCCTATTGCAGATCAATTTGCAAAGTACTGATGTATTAAATGCATTGCAAGTGATTGATAACCTTGCGTCCTCTGCATCACAACCCTGGTGGATTCTGAGAAAAGCTGATCACAGCTGAAAGACCCAGATGTGGTTCACTGCAGAGTACTTATGTTTGTGTGCAAAAGAATATGAGGTTTCAAGAATTTAACAGTATGTGCAGCCATCGAAACTCCCCCATTCATTTTTCTCTGCATAGACCATGATTTCTTTCCAGTTTAGTTGTTAAGTCTAAAGGAACACTTCTCACACTGTAACATGGTGCTATTCTCTGATTTGTCCCACAACTTGAGCATCTGAGTCACACAGAGGAGGGCACGTCAGACACCAGAGGAGAAAAGAATTAGGAAGGTGTATTAGTCGTCTCAGGCTTCCAGAACTAAATACATACACAGTTTGACTTAAATAGTAGATTAACTTTTTCATGGGGACTAAAGGCTGAGAACAAGACTTGGCAAGTTCGTTTCTCATATGAGCTCTCCTTCTGACTTACTGACAGCAACCTTTTCATTATGTCTTCCAATAGTAAAGATGGGAGAATGAAAGAGTTTGTATCTCTCTTCTCTTTCTAACAACACTATTCTATAGGCTTAGACCTCATCCTTTAATTACCTCTTGAAGACCTTCTTTTCAAACACAAGCACACTGAGACAGAGGGCCTCCCATAGTCTGTGGCTGACTCCCCCATTGAAAACAAGGGAACTTGAGCATTTATATTGGTATCTAGTAAAATAGTTTCATCCTTTAGAAGGAAAAATTGAGTTACCATTTGTTTTGGTTGCGCTGTCTTTCTGTTTTGTCCTTGATCCTCTGTTATATCTGATTGCAAAGTGTACCGGAGACTTTGCTATCCTTAACTGTAGCATAAAGTTCTCTTGAACATGTGAATGTTCCAGTAAGCACGTTCTCAAAGGGTTCAGTCATCCACTCTGCTTTTTCAGGAAATGGAGTCTTTATTTCCTTTTAGCATTTGTTTTTATTCTCCAATCATTATGCTAGGAAGAGAGCAGGTATTTGCATTCTCAGTTTGTCCTGATGGGACTTCCCAAAATAAATGTTCAGAGTTTGCCAGATGGTGGTAGCACACACCTTTAATCCCAGCACTCGGGAGGCAGAGGCAGGCAGATCTCTGTGAGTTGGAGGTCAGCCTGGTCTACATAGTGAATTCCAGGATGGCTAGTACTGTTACTAAGAAAACCCTGTCTTGAAAAACCCCCCCAAAAAATTAAAAAAAAAACAAAAACTGAATTTGTATTTTGTATAATGGTTTCATGACTTTCTTCTGTTTGAATGAAATTTAGAGTATATTCAATATTATATCTACTACATTTTACAGAATTTTAACTGGTGTCCTGGTTTTAATGCAAGTTGGTTGAGTAAATGAAAGAAGCACACAGCCCTGAGACTATTAAGTATCATGGCTATTTAAGAAAATGTTTATCTTGGACTTTTTGGACTGTTATAGCAAAATACCAATATATTAAATTGTTTACAAATCATAAACATTTATTTCTTACAGTTCTGGAGGCTGGGAAGTCCAGCACCGATGTGCTGGTGAGCTCAGGCTTAGATAAGAGTCCACTTTCTGACTCAGACAGCTGTCTTTTTGTTGTGTCTTCATATGGAAAGGAGGAGAAAGAGCATCCTTGGGCTCTTTTTCTGTCGCTGTTGGAGAACTAAAGTCCTCCATTGGCCCTTTCACCAAATGTCATTACAGCGCCCATCCCTTTCTCCAGGTGTAGACATGCATCACATTAGTGCTCAAAAAATAGTGACTTCTTTCTCAGAATCATCACAGGACGACTGTGTAATTTTACACCACTATATTATAGTCACTGTCACCTTACTTCCTGGCTAGCAAGACTTCCCCACATTTACAGTCTGCCTCTCCAAGTTCAAAGACTTATTTATTTGGTTTTGTTTTCTTGGAGGGGGGGTTGTTTTGATTTTCCAGACAGGGTTTCTCTGGATAGCCCTGGTTATCTTGGAACTCACTATGTAGACCACACTGGCCTCAAATTAAGTGACCTATCTGTCTCTGTATTCTGAGTGACAGGGTTGAAGGTGTGTGCCACCACCATCTGGCTCAAAGTCTTGTTCTTAGTCTAAGTATATAATGAGAAATATCAAGAGCACCACAGCCCCATATAATATAGAACAGGCACAAGCCAAAGGAGAAGAGGTTTTTTTTAAAACTTATATTAGAAACAATCTTGTTTTACATGTCAATCCAAGTTCCCTCTCCCTCCCATCTCCCCTGCCACCCACTGGTCCCTTGTCCCATCCCCTCTCTGCTCCCCAGAGAGGGAGAGACCTTCCATGAGGGATCTTCACAGTTTGTGACATCATTTCGAGAAGAGCCTAGGCCCTTTCCCATGTGTCTAGGCTGAGAGAGTATCCCTCTGTGTGGAATGGGCTCCCAAAGTCCGTTTGTAAACTAGGGATAAATACTGATCCACTACCAGAGACTCATAGACTGTCCAGGCCTCCTAACTGACACCCACCTTCTGGGTTGGTCCCATACTGATTTCCCAGCTTTTAGTCTGGGGTCCATGAGCTCCCCTTGTTCAGGTCAGCTGTTTCTGTGGGTTTCTCCAGCCTGGTCTTGACCCCTTTGCTCATCATTCCTCCCACTTCTCAACCGGATTCTAGGAGTTCGGTTCGGGCTTAGCTGTGGATGTCTGCTACTGGATGCAGACTCTAGGATGGCATATAAGGTAGTCATCAATCTCATTATCGGAAAGGGACATTTGAGGTAGGCTCTCCACTATTGCTTAGATTCTTAGTTGGGATCATCCTTGTAGATCTCTGGACATTCCCTGGTGCCAGATTTCTCCTTAAACCTATAATGGCTCCTCTCTGGACATTCCCTGGTGCCAGATTTCTCCTTAAACCTATAATGGCTCCCTCTATTATGGTATCACTTTTCTTGCTCTCCCTATTCTTCCCCTGACTCAATCTTCCTGCTCCCTAATGTCCTCTTCTCTCCCTTCTCTTTCTCCTAACTCCCTCTCCCCTCCCCCATCCTCCCAGTTTGCTCAGGAGATCTTGTCCCTTTCCACTTCTCTCGGGGACCATGTATGTCTCTCTCATAGTCCTTCTTGCTTCCTAGCTTCTCTGATGGTGTGGATTGTAGGCTGGTAATCCTTTGCGCCATGTCTAAAATCCATATATGAGTGAGTACATACCATGTTGGTTTTTTTGTGACTGGGTTACCTCACTCAGGATGGTTTAGGAAAAGAGTTTAATACTGAATCTTTCATATTTTCAGATTTCCTTTATTCCAAATTCTGTTCCAAAGCTGTGTCAGTAGGTATGGTTGCATTTGTTCTTCCTGGGGTTGGAACTCCTTAGTGATGTGAAGCATTTGCAAGTTCCCCAGTCTGTCACATAGGTCTTCCTGTGTTTGTGCTTTCTCCCCCCTTTCTCTCTTTCTAAGTACTTGTATTAGTTACCTTCCCATGACTGTGACCAAAAGTA